TGCACCTCTCAGTCTTCTAGCGGCTTCAGACTCTGGAACCTCCCGGTGGTCAACCATCTTCTTCTGCTCTTCACAATCTGGTATCACAAGAAGTTGACGGTGTTCGTCGTCCAACTCTTCTTCGCTGTTTGGAACCACAAGCTCCAACGGACCTTCACCGTCTACGTCGCTAGACTGCTCTTCACTATCAGGAACCACAAGGTCCTCCATGAAGTGATTGTATTCCACTGGATCTTGACGAGGGGGGGGGGGGGGCTTGGTTTTGCCTCCATGGAAATTAGATTTAGGGATTGAGAATTTCAAAAAAGGAGCAATGATTGGATCGACAAATGAGCTAGGGTTAAAGTGTGAAATAATGAGAAAAGGGTACTCCAATAGGAGTCCTGATAGGTATATTTATAGTAAAATAAGAGTTGCCAAAATACACAAGGATTGCTAATTTATATTAACTATTACACCCCCTCAAGCTGTGCGGGAGATACAACGCGCAGGTTGTATTTTAAAAAATGAAACTGCTAACTAGATAAACTCTTAGTAAAAATATCTGCAAGTTGCAAACGTGTAGGAACATACTTCATGACCAGATCACCATGGGCCACCCTCTCACGAACAAAATGATAATCAATATGAATATGTTTGCTGCGTGCATGCTGAATAGAATTAGCTGTCAGATAAGAAGCAGAGATATTATCGCACAATAGCTGGACAGGTTCTCGTATTGCATAACCAAGCTCAAATAGGACCGAACGGATGTGTAATGTGTCTTGGACTGTATATGCAATGGCACGGTATTCAGCCTCAGTAGAAGATTTAGATACCGTAGGCTGCTTCTTGGACTTCCAGGAGACAAGGTTTGGACCCAAGAAAACAGCAAAACCTGTAGTAGAACGGGAGGTATCTGGATAGCCTGCCCAATCAGCATCAGAATAAGCCAAAGAGAAAATTGTCCATAATGAGACCCTTTCATTGACTTTTGATTAAAATAAGACCCAATTAGATTAATTACTTCTGTAAGCCTAAATCGGTCCTACTTTAAGAAACTTAATATTTAGTTGCCTAAAATACCCCTTAGTTCATATCCCTTTAGCTCTTTCCTTCGCCCTTGGCTTTCGGGACATAGGGCTTGCTGCTCTTCTTCTTGTTCTCGCGACTTCGAGTTCTCCGGTACCTTTTTCCTGCAAATCAATGACATCTCCGCTTTACTCCGTCCGATGGAGCAGTGGTGGGATAAGGCGGCGACAGATGTGTTGTGTGTTTTTAAAAGGCTTCTTCCTCAAGTTTCCTCAGGACTTCTACCGTCTACGTTTCTTCACAAATATTTCTGCTGCGAATTTTCTGCTGCTAAATATCATTCCTGGTGCGAATTTCTTCTGTAAGTTTGTATGATGTTTCGAATTTTCATTCTGATTATATATTGAACTTGGAGATTGATTTTACGTGACTTGCTCTGTTATCGAGCTATTATCAGGACTTATTGTCTATTTAATGATTACTTACTATCTATGTATTGTCTGCTATTGAACTATTATTAGAACTTATTGTCTGTTTACTGACTACTTAATGCATGTGTATTGTCTAGTGTTTGCAAATTTGATTTTGGATTTGGTTTATTCAAAAGTTTTACAGAGTACCTGATGACATTGTGAAAATATGAAACAGAAGTTCGAAATTAACCAAATCAATGTTCAGAATCAGAAAACAAGAAGAAGAAGAAGAGGAAGAAGAAACCTATGTCGATCTGGTGCGGCGGCGACGAAGTCGATAGGCGGCGGTGGTGATGGCCTAGTCGATCGATCTGAATTGTGCAGATGAGAAGGGCGACGATGAAGTTTGTGTAAAGGGCAACGATGAAACCTCTGCCGACGGCTTTCTCTGTTGTTTGCCAAATGTTACTGTTCATAGGCGACGGGTTTTGAGAATTGTTCAAGCTGCCTGGTTGTCTACTATCTAATTAAGGGTATTAGAGTCAATATGGTTCCACTTTTATCCTACGCGAACTACTAATCTTATTTTTGGAATTTGGGGGACTTTTGGTGTTATTTGTAAAATTTTCCCTAAGCCAAAATACACATAGGGCGAGCAGACTTCTGAAGCCATAATCCGTGATCAATGGTTCCCAGTAAATAGCGAAATATGCGCTTGACAACAAGCATGTGAGTGGTGCGTGGGGCATGCATAAATTGAGACACTAAATGGACTGCATAAGTAATGTCAGGTCTTGTCAAAGTTAAATATTGTAATGCATCTACCATACTACGATATTTCGTAGCATCAGACAAAAGTTCCCCATCAGTGAGGGAGAGAGATGTACGAGTGGCTAATGGCGTACGAACGGACTTGAGAGTGTGTAAATGAAAACGAAGAAGAAGTCTGAGACATATTTTTGTTGAGAAAGAAACACACCTGTAGATGTGCAAACAACTTGGATCCCCAAAAAATAATGGAGATCACCTAGATCTTTCATAGCAAAATTAGACGCAATGCAGGCAATGAAAGAAGACACAAGAAATGGAGAATTGCCAGTAATAATGATATCATCTACATATTATTAATAATAAATACATGACTGACTTCCCCTGACGATAAATAAACAAAGAATTATCTGACTTACTACACACAAAAATATGAGTAAGCAAGAAACTACTAAATCGATGAAACCACGCACGCGGGGCCTTTTTAAGACCATAAATAGCCTTGCGCAAATGACACACATGATGAGGAAATTGAGGATGAACAAAAGCCCGCGGTTGACGCATATAGACCTCCTCGGTAAGATGGCCATGAAGGAATGCATTTTTCACATCAAACTGACACATAATCCACCCAAAAGAAATAGCAAGAGTAAGAACTATACGAACTGTGGTGGGTTTAACAACCGGACTGAAAGTCTCAGAAAAATCAACACCAGCCTGCTGATTAAATCCTTGAGCAACCAAACGTGCTTTATGGCGCTCAATACTCAATAGACCCATCAGAATGAAATTTAGTTTTATAAATCCATTTAGACCCAACCACATTTTTAGATCTATCAAATGAGACTAACTCCCAAGTATTATTAGAGATAAGCGCATTAAATTCATCTGCCATAGCCTCACGCCAAATTAAATGTTTCTGAGCCTCAGAGTAACAAGTCGGATCAGGTGCACTAATAACTGTGTTTAATGTAAAAATTGATTTGGGCTTAAAAATACTGGACTTAGCTCGGGTTTACATGGGATGAATATTAACACGGGGACCAAGGGAGCTTGTGGAATTAGACGCATGTGAAGTCGGGACATGGGGTAAAGCACTGGCTATTGGAATGGGCGAAGGCATGGCTGATGTGGATTGGTTGTCGACCGAACTTGGCGAGGGTGTGGGACTGGTTTCGGGTAAGGTGGACGAAGGGAGGTTAGTGGAACGGACGGAAGGAATGGCTGGGGTGGTGTGGGGTGCTGTGGTGACCGTGAGATGAGAGGGTGGTGTCAGATGCTGTGGTGACCATGCGTGTAGGACTGGCCCTGGAATATGCCGAGGAAGAGGCATAGAAGGAGGTATAGGGGATCGTATGGTGTTGGGGAGAGTTAATTGAGGATAGTCAGAAGAAGATGATGACTTAGAGGAGGAGGATGATAAAGAGGGGAATGGAAAGTTATTTCTAGAAACCTAACATGATGACTGACATAAACTTTACCAGACTTAGGTTCAAGACAACGATACCCTTTATAACCAGATGCATAGCCAATAAAAACACAGTGAAGAGAATGGGCTGAAAGTTTATTTGCAGAAGACGCAGAAATATTAGGAAAACATGAGCAGCCAAACACACGCATAAAGGCATAATCAGGAGATTTTTGAAATAGTCTTTCATATGGAGAAAAGTTACCAAGCAAAGGAGATGGTAAACGATTAATAATATATGCAGTAGTAAAAATGGCATCTACCCAGAACCGACTAGGAATAGAAGCTTGAAGAAGCATAGTCCTAGTAATTTCGAGCAGATGTCGATGTTTACGTTCAGTCACCCCATTTTGTTGAGGTGTGTCAGTGCAAGATTTGCGAAAATAAATTCCATGAATATCAAAAAATTGCTGCATATTAGTATTAAAAAATTCACCCCCTCCGTCACTTTGAAAAATTTTAATTTTAGTGTTAAAAAGATTTTCAACCAAAGATTTAAAAGATTTAAAGTGATGAAAAACTTCTGTCTTTGTGCGCATGGGATACAACCAAGTATAGCGAGAGAAGTCATCAATAAAACATACATAGTATTTAAAACCTAAATTAGATAAAATAGGAGATTGCCAAACATCAGAATGAATCAATTGTAGAGGCATTGTAGAATTATGACTAGCATCCGTAAAGGGTAAACGTTGAGATTTGCCTAATCGGCAAGAAATACAGTCATGAGATAAAGTAAAGTTACTAGAAATATGGTGTTGACCACGTAAAGTATTTAAAATAGAGTTGCCGCAGTGGCTTAATCTATGGTGTCAAAGAGAGCTAGACGAAGCAAGAGAAGTCAAAGCAAGCGGTGGTTGAGGGCTGAGGCTGACTGGATAGAGATGACCATGACTAGGAGCTTGAAGAAGGATGGTCCCCGTGATTTTGTCCTTAACAAAAAAGGAATTTTTATCAAAAATTACAACACAGTTATTATCAGCACAAAGTTTTCGAATAGATAATAAATTAAATTTAATGTGAGGCACATGAAAAACAGATTTTAACGTGAGGGGACGACTAGAAGAATTCAAATGAACATCTCCAATATTAGCAATGGGAAGCTTAAAACCATTAGCAACACTAACATAAAGTGGTCCAGTATAAATAGATTTATTAACTAAAATACCTTCCGTAGGAGTCATGTGAGTCAAAGCCCCAGAGTCAGGGTACCATAGTGCAGTATTTGAGTCACTGTTGGAAGTTAACAAAGCTGGCGCAGACGGTGGAGCATAACGAGAGGGACACTGAAGTGTAGAATGACCTGCAGAAAAACAAAGCTGACAGACAACAGGTGGTGGAACAGACCCAAGAATTCCTTCACCTGATGAGAAACCTGCAAAGCTAGCGTGAGTATCATAAATAAAATAGGGATTAATATTTAAAGTTGACAAAATAGAATTACTTGCAGAACCTGAAGTGTTCCCTTGAGAATTAGGCACCCCCTGAGTCGAAGCATGTGGATGACCGAAGCCCTGCTGGCCGAAGCCCTGCTGATCAGATCCGAATCCGAGTTGCGGAGCAGGTACGGGCTGCTGTGGACCATAAAACTGTGTGGCCTGGTGCTGATAGCCATACGGTGGTCCTCTGCTGCGTCCTCGGCCCTGCCTGCCGCGTCCCCTACCGTGGCCTCCTCTGCCGCGATTAGCGTAGCCAGCCGGTGGCGGCCCTCCTGCCGCAGCAACCGCGAAGGCTTGATGTCCAGCGGCTGGTTGTTGTTGACGCTCATACAAAACTCGTTGCTCTTCGTCCAAAAGTCGGGGTTGTAGAATGTCATAGGTAAATTGGTCGGGGAATAAAGAGACACTAGTGACAAAGGACCGATACTCAGTACCCAAACCAGCCAATATAGCTTGAAGCATCTCTTTATCCGACACGGGAGAATTAATTGCCGCAAGGGCATCAACCACATTTTTAATTTCCCTTAAATAGAATTCCATAGATTGGCTCTCTTTCTTCTTTATACTCGATAACAATTGTTTAAGTTCCATGCATCTGGGTAGACTGACAGACATAAATCGAGTCTGAAGTCTAGCCCAGATAGCAGCTGAATGTTTGAGATCATGAACATCAACCAACACATCACGAGTAAGAGTAGCAAACAACCAACATCAAATTGTTTGATCTACTCAGGGCCAAAAATAATATTCTGAACTTGGAACTTGACGATTAAGAAAATCAACAGTATACATCGGGGTACCTGAATTGATCCATCAACAATTCCAAACATGCCTTGAGGCACCAGAAAGGATTCGAACTGGGTACGCCAGGTGAGATAATCCTCGTTTGCCTTCAATTTAATGGTGACGATTTGAGAGACAGTGGTGATGTGAGAAACTGATTGAGCAAGGGCCGACATTGGATATCCAAAGTCAGGTTGATCATGTGGCCGAATCACACCAAGAGAGCCGGAGAAGGTGGGACTGAAAAAGGACGATGCTGCCTGGTGCGGTCGAGGTAGCGGCTGAACTTGCGGTGCAAAAAGATTGGACTGCTGCGGCAAGGTCGGAAACAGGGGAAAGCTTTCAGCCGCAGAAAAATTTGGTGGGGGAGGAAAATTGGTAAACAACGTTGATGATGGTGGCGTCATGACGGGAGACCCGGCTGCGCTTGGAATTGTGGTCGAAGAAGAGAACAACACTCAAAAACCTTGCTGGTCCGTCCTGGCATGGACTGAAGAAGTGGCCGGCGCCTGAGAGGCAGAGGCAGCAACGACAACCGTCGAGCTCATGGACGAGGAAGCCATGGCTGCGGCAGTGGAGTTTTCGGAAAAACTCATGGTGGCGGTCGTAGGCGTGAAGAGAGAAAAGAAAAAAAATTAGATTTGTGCTCTTGATACCATGTGAAATAATGAGAAAATGGTACTCCAATAGGAGTCATGGCAGGAATATTTATAGTAAAATAAGAGTTGCCAAAATACACAAGGATTCCTAATTAATATTAACTATTATAAAGTAGATTTCAAATCAGTGAAGGATAGATTTTTATTTCGTACAACAATGGAGGGGTGGAAGACCGAAGGAGGTTAGATTGGAACTGGGAAAGAGAGAGGGAGATGGATTGATTAGGGTAAGATGTGATAAGGCGCAAAGAATATAAGGGGTGCAGAGATACGAAAGTGGAAGGATAAACATTTAAGAGGAGTGAAAGGAGTTTTTTTTAGGTGGGGAAACTTTCCATTTTTAATAAGTGGAAGATTTTTTTGAGACAGAGGAAGTATCATTTTGATAAAAGCGGTAGTTTGATAGTGTCTCCGTCCTATTAACTTTGGAATATGATGAGATGATGCAATTATTGAGAAAAATAGATTTATGTGATTAATATTGAGAGGGTAAACATTTAATAAATTAATAACAATTTAAAATTACAGAATCTTTACTAATTTCGTTACAGGGTAGCAGACAATCTTAATTAACCGGCCAAAAAGTAAAAACCTCAAACAATTGATATGGAACATTTTGAACTTGGTGTACACACTATTTGATGTACACACTTTTACAAATGCATTTGCACATAAAAGGTCAGACATATGTAAAAGTGTATACTAACCAATACTCCAAAATAGGTGTAACCTTGCATATGGAATGAAGGGCAGTTTGATAAAAAATTCCAAGTTGAGGTGCCGTTGACACGGTTGTTGATGATGATGTCGAACTTCGTTGTCATTACTCACGATAATTATTTTATTCTTGCTATTACGAAGTCCAATAATACTTACGTACGGAGTATTAAGCAGAGAGTTTTTCGTTGAACCTTTTGCAGGTTCCCTTGAGAGAGAAGAGCATTCACATATGCTCAGCCCCCATGCCTGGACTACCCTCTCCAGCTCTTTTATTTTCTTCATGTGCTTTCTTCATCCTTTCCTGCTTTGCTCCAGTGACTCGAGCCCAGAATGAATCTCAAGCTACTTTATATCCCAATGAAGGTCTCTCTCTCTCTTGAAAGACAAAAACTTCAATACTTATTTATACTAGTACTGCAACTAGTTTTTCTGGTGTCATCCTGTTCTTTTAAGTTATTTTGGCCCTTTTAACTATAGTTCTTGGAAAGCTTTTACGTATTTAGGTAAGCTCGGTATATACTAGTAATTCAAAATTTGAACTTGGTGCTCTTCTAAGCTTTAAGAGTTAAGAACCCATTTAAGTAACTAAACTGCAATTCAATTTATTAGATTCAAGCTTTAAGAACCCATTTGCCCATCTATGTTCTTTTTACATATTCAGTTGATTTTTTTATAAATGAAATGCGATGTTATCAGCGAGGGCTTTGAATAGCCTGTTTGTGAAATGGGGAGTGAAGGCTGACACAAGTCAATGGAACATAAGCGGAGAGCCGTGCAGCGGTTCCGCCATAGATTCAATCCTGTTCACAGACAGTGGCTATAACCCTTTAATCAAATGCGTTTGTAGTTTCGCCAACAATACCCGATGCAGGATTGACCAATTGTCAGTGATACATCCTCCCTCTCTTTATTCGTGTTCTAACGTTTCTCTGCTCATTTCATACTTGTACTTTTCCTTTGCTCCCCACTTTGGTTTGAATTTGTTGAGAGATCAAAGATTGTTATGGACAGTAGTTCTTTACTATATAATTTTCCCCAATTTGTTTGCAGGAAAGTTTTTTCTTTGGATGTTGTTGGTACGATACCAGATGAGCTATGGGAGTTGACTTACCTATATAATTTGTATGTGTTTACTTTTGTCACCTGTATCTCAATTAGTTTGGGCTGGTGGTACGGAATTAAAGTTCAATTGGTTTTTCAAAATATTTTCTCGATTTTCCTCGGTTTACCCTTCAACATTTCCTATTTGGGAGATTTCCCAAAATAGGAGTAAATGGGGTTTGGAATTCCAAAATAGAACTCCTATGTTTTTCTTCCCAAAATAGGACCAACATGGCAGTATTTACTGTCATCTTGTAGGCATGACTGCCAAATAGTTGCAGTACTATGCATTCAACATGACAATATTTATTATAATTAATGATAGTAATTTTTCAATCATGGCAGTATTTTTTATTCATGGCAGTAACGATTTCTATTTCAGGAAGAAAACATAGTAGTCATATTTTGGAATTCCAAAAGTTATTTACTCCTATTTATGGCAATTTCCCTTTCTGTTTTTGTGGCTTTAGCACACATTTGGAGTACTATATATGGAAAAACTTATTTTTCAGGATTTTTTATGTAAATCCTGTTCTTCTAAGCATGTTTTCCAGGAAAGCTTATTTCCTCAATAAAACTGAGCCTTATAGCATCCATTGTTTATCTTAAATAATTCGAAATTGTATATCCATGCAATCAATCGGAACCTTAAAGTGTCGATTGTTTGTAAATTAGTTGAAATGGTATATCCATTCAAAACAGAGCCAATTCAAATAGCTTTAGGTTTGGTGCCCTTCATGCCCACATATCCTTCTAAATACAGTTATGTTGGGATGTTGCAATTATTGATCTGCTTTCACTACTTCCTAGTAGTAGGGAGGGGTACTCAAGTAATAATGCATTTTTACAAACTCCCGGTCTCGTCCATTTTTTGAAGGGATTTGCGGGAAAATTACCTGTCGGGCCCGTTGTCTCCATCCATTGGCAATCTTACTCGCATGAAATACCTGTAAGCAGTCTTGAAGTTAGGTGTGAAGCTTCTCTATGGCATAAGATGTATAAATCTAGTGAATCAATTTTAACTTTTTCTACTATGTGCACATTTATTTATTGCTATTAGGAGTTTTGGTAACAATCAACTATCAGGGGTGCTACCAAAGGAACTTGGTCAACTTACAGAGTTGCTATCCTTGTAAGTTTTTTCTCATTCTCAACATTTTACTTTCTACATCCCAAACTATTTGTTTTTCTTAAGACAAATAATTGTTGTTTCAGGAATTCAAAATAGAATTTCTCATTTTTCTGAAGTTCTCTTATTCAATCTGACCAGATTGAATGTTTACTGTTAAAAGTATCCGCATCAAGATATTTAACCATCTTTCGCCCACCATACAGGAGTTGAACTTCATAGCCTTATTACCTAGTTCTTAGGTCTTTTTTTTATTTGGGGATTTTGGAGGTGTTGGAAGGAGAGGATTTGTTTTTGTTTTGCTTATTTATCTCTATGTTATAGTCTTAAATTAGAGACAAATACATGTTTTAGTTATTTAGTGTTTTCCTGTATAATTTTGCATCATCACTTTCGTTTCAACCATCTACATGTAAGAATAAATAGAAATTAAATATCACCTCTCCCCTTCCCTCCGCACCAGAATCCATGAACCAAAGAAGCCCTTAAGGTTTAGACACATATTCAAGCTCTTATGTGTCATTGGTCTTGTTTAAGAAGATATCAAATTCTGGTTATTGTCCAAGCTACCAATGTCCAATTCCACTATGCTCGAGTGGTGTGTTAAGTATAACAGTCCGTATTTCATTATTTCTCCCACGGGTAGATCAGGTCCTTTTACTGTTCCTCAGTTGAAGTAAGAATTCTAAACTAACAATTAATTTGGGATGGAGGGAGTACTATATTAACGTTCAAACCTTGAAGCCATCTTAAACTAAATATAATAGCATAAACTTACATATAAGGCTTTGGAGGACCACTAGGTTGACTTTTAGGATAGAATCCCAAATCTCAATATGGTACAAGAGCCTCTTTCTTGAAATGCATTTTTTTTATGTTGTTTCATGGTTAGGGGTAAATCAATATATCAATTGTGTATGCTATGTTTTCCTACAAAACAACTGCCAATGTACAATGTATAAATCGATTTCCTGGTCCGTTTACCTTCAAACACATGCATCTTGAATTGTTTTAACATATACACAAGTTTGAAGTCACCTATACTGGCTGGTTTGTTCTTCTTTAAGTGATAACCGATTGGTTTTATGCCACTTTTGTAGGTCTATTGCACAAAACAACTTCTCTGGTACTCTTCCACCTGAACTGGGGAATTTAGTGAAATTACAACAGATGTAAGTTTGATGAATATTATTCCTCGTTTGATTGCATTATAAAAGCTACAAGTGCATAATAAAAGGGCAGCCCGGTGCACAAAGGCATCCCTGCAAGGCGAGGGTCTGAGGAAGGGTCCCACCAAATGGGTGTATAAGGAGAAAGCCTCCCCTGTCAAATTTTGACAAGTGGCTGCTTCCAAGCCTTGAACTTGTGACCTCTTGGTCACAAAGCAACACCTCAACTGTTGTGCCTAGATATGGTGCGCACCATATGCGCCATCGCAATGAAAAACTGGTTGTCGCCATAGCGCCATATGCGCCATTCGTACATGCGCCATCGCCGTGCGCCATGAAAAATGCCTTTGAGCAATGACGATCACCATGCGCCATGACAACTATGATTATATTGATGAGATTTGCTTGTTTGACAGTTATATTGATAGTTCTGGAGTAAGCGGTGAGATTCCTTTGACACTTGCTAATCTACAAGAACTAATTACTGTGTAAGAACCTTCTGACTACGAAACCTCTCTCCTTGTTGAATTAAAATTGATGAAAGTATAAATTTTAGGCTCCGTTTGGTGGCATTACTAAGCTGATTAGTTTATCAAGCGTTTTTCTTTAAAAAATTCAGCTGATTCAGTCCTTTCAAACAAATAACCCTTACCATTTACCTAACAGGCTTGTACACTACTTCTGAATAAGCACTTGCCTTTTTTGTTTTAGGTATGCATCAGATAATGAGCTCACAGGAAGTATACCCGATTTTATAGGGAACTGGTCAAAGCTAAATGCATTGTAAGACAATCTATACAGGTCACATATTCTGCTTTAATTTATGTGGTTTACTAATAAATCATCTTATAGGAGGTTACAAGGAAACTCTTTTCAAGGTCCTATACCATCAACATTTGCCAATCTGACGGCTATGATTGAGTTGTAGGTATCTAAGTATGTTAACTTCTTTTATTTTCATACTCAAATCTATGATAGTTATTAATTTCATGTATTATATACTCTTGCAGGCGTATAAGTGAGTTATCTAATGGCAGTTCATCTTTTGACTTTATTAAGAATATGAAGAATCTAACCGTTCTGTGAGTGAGCAGCATTAGTTCTTGTTAAATCAATTTTCTTCTTCACACTAATTATTTCCAAATAAGTAAGTTATCTAATGAAGAGGAGCCTTGGCGCACCGGTTACGGTGTTGCTGTGTGACAGAGAGGTCACGGTTTCATGTCTTGGGAGCGGCCTCTTGTCAAAAATGACAAAGTCAGGCTTGCCCCTTATACACTGCACGTTGTGGTGGGACCCTTTCCTGGGCCCTCACCTTACAGGGACACCAATGTGCACCGGGCTGCCCCTTTTAAGTAAGTTATCTAATATTTATTTATTTTAAAACTCACTTGCAGAGTACTCAGGAATAACAACATAACTGAATCAATTCCATCCAATTTTAATGAATACCAGCAATTGTCGCAACTGTAAGTTTGGTTATACATAAGAGTTAAATACATGTTTAGTAACTTGGAGTTTAACAAATACCAGATAATTATATTATTTTTTTGTATAGGGATTTGAGCTTCAACAGTATAACTGGAGAGATCCCGACATCCCTTTTCAATATGACCTCACTTGATTATCTGTAATAACTTTCCCTTTCATTTTTGTATGGCTGATCAGCGGTACAGCGGTACCTTCTAGGCATTCAATATGTTGATATTTTTTTAATAAAAATTATCAGATTCCTCGGAAACAATAAGTTGAAGGGTACACTGCCTGCACAGAAAAGCACAACTCTTCTCAATGTGTAAGTATATATGAATATTTATTAAATTTATAAGGATCAATGCTTGATGAATGCACAGAAAATCATAACTCTTCTCAATGTGCAAGTATGAGAATATATTGGGCGTGCTTGGCATTTAGCCATTGGTGGATAGCGGATTATGTTAGCGAGTTGTTAATAGCGGATTCAATCAGCGGGATTGACTAGAGGAACAAGTAGACGAGTAGCAAAAAGATGTTTGATAATTTAGCTGTTTAGCCATAGCAATTAGTAGAAAATGTCATATCCCAAAACGCTAACCCAAAACATTTTTATTTGTAATGTTTCCATTTCAGCAGTTCCGTCCAAAAACGCTAGGGCCGAACAACTATTTACCAAACAACGTTTTCACTTATTGAAAACGCTAAAAAGGGTCACACCGTCATTTTTTTGCTGAAATGTCATTTTCTAAACACCCCTTTAAAATTATAATGATCAATGCTTGATGATTATTTGATTGAGGAAAGGTCGAAAGATACCACTATTGTTTACCTCCTGGGGCAGATTGCCCCTTAACATTTATTTAGGTGCCAATACCCTTGATGTTACTCTTATAGGGTGCAGGTTGGTCCTTATTGGCCTTAAACGCCAAAACAAAATTTTCAAAAATCACCATTTTTTAATATTTAATGTTAAACAATAAGATTTTTAGAGAAACTATACCCCAAACATGTTATATTTGCAACACATATCTTTAATTCAAATGACTCCAACTAGTTGGAATTAAGGTGTTAATAATGGTAATAGTGATGTCTTGAATTTATGCTACAAACCAGTACTACCTCCGTCCCATAAAATAAGTCCCACTTCAATTTGGATCGGAGTTTAAGAAAGTGGGAATAAAGTGGAAATGTATGGTTGTGGTTGAGTAAGAAAAAGGTAAATGAATGTTAGCCACACAAAACTTTCCAAAAAGGGAAATGGGAACAATTTTTTGGGACGGTCCAAAAAGGAAAGTGGGACTTATTTTATGGGACGGAGGGAGTACTTCGTATTTGTTTCACGTTACACACCAATAAAAATTTATTTTATATATTTGACTCAAGTTAAAAAGTTATTTTCCGTATGACGTTAAATTACCCATTGTTAGAATAAATAGTTAATTTAATTTATTAATTATAAACGTTGACAGGTTTAAAAAATCATAACACATTTTTAAATTTCTTAACATAAGTATTAAATGCGTGTTAAATATTAAAATACGTCTGAAACAAATATTAAACTAATATCATTATTTTTATATAAAAGAAATGAACACAAATGTTTCATTCTTTTAAGATATAGTCATTGCAAATATAAGTAATTAAGTATATTACAGTTTTTTAAGACAAAGTAATTTTTTAGTTCTTTTATTTCTAACAACAACAACAACATCCAAGCCTTAATCCCAAAAGAAAGTTATTTTATTTCTAACATTCAATAATTTTTATAATTGACTTTTAGCAATTTTAGAATACTTGTTTTAGCTTTTAAGGCTCATAAGTGTCAAATTTGCCCCCTGATAGAAGCGTTAGTGGTATTTTGCACCTTAAAAAAATTAGAGGCCTGGAAATATATATTAATGGTGTATTTGTCCCTTCTCCCTATTTGACATTGATCTGCTATGGTTGCAGAGATTTGTCATACAATTTCTTAGCAGGGAGCCTTCCTTCTTGGGTCAACCAGAATAGTTTACAGCTGTATGTCTTGACGTTTCACTTTATATGTACACACACCCACATGACCACACACATATCTTTTTCTCTAACAAGTAACAACCATACTGAAAATACTGCTACGATCTTCTTTATATTTAAAGATGGAATTGACAGTGGGGTTCTTTTGACTGTCATGCAGTAATTTAATTGGAAACAACTTGACAATTGGAAGTTCTAGCAACAGGTATCATTACATGATGTCCTTACTTAATTTTATTTTTTGTTTTGAACCTTTCAGCAATAAATTGGTACTTCATTTCTTCTTTTTTTTTAGTTGAATGGCTGGGGCCATTTGAAACCCGGAAAGTACTAGGGAAAGAAACAGCAATTAAAATAGAGAGGAAAATGAGAAGTAAAGAGAATTTAGGGGAAATGAAGGGCATATTCAAACTCAATTAACTCATTTCAGATATGTATTTGAACTTATTTCGATGGTATAAAGACTGAGAAATACAAGTATATGAAAAAACAGATACTTTGTATAAGTATATAAAAATATATACTTTCTGTTATCCTAACTTATCTAAACATGATGTATTAACCGATTAGCTTGCATAAATAAGCCTCAACAGCATCTCTCTACTTTTTTCACGCACTTTACTACAATATTAAAGCACTACATAAATGTTTTATACTCAATCCAGCCATTGTTGTCTATTTCTTAGCTAGTTGACTGATTCCTTACATATATTCGCCTCCTATTTGGACCAGACCAACACATGTCAACTTCAGCTGATAAATACCTAAAAATGAATAAGTAAATATACTGGTTGAAAAGGGCTCACTGAAAGATTCAGGGAATGCTGCAATTGCTGTGATTACCCTCTAAGGAAATAAGAGAGAGTATCTTATATATCATCAATTAAAGGTCTTTTTCCCTCACATGATTCACTGAAACTTTTTGTGAACCATTCACTGCTCCACACATAATGCAACTCACTTGGACTGCTATAGTTAAAAGTTAAAACTTCGTGTGTCTAAAATAGTATGCTAGTGATTGCTCTACATAAATTTCCATTTCCTCGTCTAAATGCATTAATGTTTTGAAATCAGTCTGGAATGTCTTCAGCGGAACTTTCCTTGCAATCGAGGCCTGCCAATCTGTAAGTATGGATAAATGTGCTATATAATGATGTGTGATGCCTTTATTTTTATTGGTTGAAAAAGAGTTGATTTTTATGCTTATTAATTAATAATATTATAATACTTTGCAAATTGGTTGGACAGATTATAACTTTTCAATCAATTGCGGCGGTCCTCAAATCACAACCGCTCAGGGTATCAAGTATGAGAAGGAGAATGAGAGAGTGGGTCCGGCTTCATTTTACGTGGCTGACACCAAGAGATGGGCAGTGAGCAATATTGGACTCTTCACTGGAAACAATAATCCACGTTACCAGAGTTCTACGCCATCCACATTCACAAATACTTTGGACTCTGGGCTCTACCAAACAACCCGATTGTCTGCTTCCTCATTAAGATATTTTGGTTTGGGGCTCGAGAATGGTAACTATACGATCACTCTTAGGTTTTCTGAAACTGCATTTGAAGATGCCCGTACTTGGAAGAATCTGGGAAGGCGTGTGTTTGATATCTATATACAGGTACATATCATATTCCCCCCTCTCTATTTAATTGACGATTTAGTCTTTCAAAAAAGTACACACATATCAATAAATATTACAAAATGACATTCTATCCATATAAAAGTTCAGCGTCAAATGTTTTGTCATATCTTTTCAAGGAAAAATTACATTTAATATGGGAAAATTAATAAGGATATATATGGGAGACTAGAACAAAATTTGCATTGAATTCTTTAAACAACAATTATTTTGGGAAAACATTATTGGTTAAAATGATAAATTAATTTGGGACACATGGAATATCTGTTAAGGTGTGGGTTAGTTCTCGTACAAGAGGATCTTTTACGATGGAACTAGTGTCTTAATGGTAAGCGTAAAATACAAACACATATTTCAAGCTTGTTCTTACCCTATAATTTCAATTGTTACAGGGAAATCTTGTTAGGAAGGATTTTGATATACGAAAGCAGGCAGGTGGCCTCCTATCCCAAGTTGTTGATTTACCACTTAAGGCTCGTGTCTCACAAAATTTCCTTGAAGTCCATCTCTTCTGGGCGGGAAAAGGGACTTGCTGTGTACCTACGCCGGGTACATATGGACCTGCAATTTCCGCCATCAGTGCTACGCCTGGTAAGGCAGTGTGAAGTAGTTTAGATGTAGTACCAATTTGGTAGGACCAAGGAGGATTGTTCTGATCCAACCATGTTTCCTACCAAACACTAACTTATATTTGAGTGTGCGAGTTGAATTGGTTGAATGGTTGATAATGGAAAAGTAGTGCAGAAGCTTCTTTTTTGTAGTAGAAGTCGTTGAAATGAAAGGAAATAACACTTTTACCCTTATTGCACATATTTTCTTCAACTTATTAGTGTTGTTTAAAGATAATATGGCCGATTCAGTTATTGGAGGGATAGCTTCAACACTTCCATCAATTAATCAATTTTAGCCAAGTTTGAACCTTACCTGATGTTCTACAAATTTTTCGTAGTTTGGCTATTTTTCTTCACATGTGATTAATTAACACGCTCTTCACCAGATTTTGTACCTAGTGTAAGTAACATACCTCCAGCCACTAAGAAGAAGGACAAGACTAGTCTTATTGTGGGGCTCACAGTTGGTGCTGGAATTTTAAGTTTTCTATCTATTATAGCGGTTTTCATTATTGTTCGAAGGAGGAGAATCACTTATGACGATGATGAAGGTAGTTACAGATTCTTTTCATTTCATGTAGATTGTGATGGCATGACTTTTATATGTTTATACCTTGTGCTAATTAATTTGTGTGAAATATTGCAACTCCATATATTCCTAGAATACAAATAACCATAACAGGCATAAAAGTTACTACTCTGGTCTCTGTATGTTTTTTTTAAATAATGCCAAGTAGATGAAAATGACACCGGGGGGGGGGGGGGGGGGGGGTGGTAATAGTCTCACTAGAAATGTTAAAGATACATGCATGGTTAGCCTTTGGGTTAGACTAGCAAATCAATCACTACCTTTATCCCATTTTACGTGTCCTACTTTGGTTTGGCAAAATTATTAATAAAGTGGTTGGAAAAGTAAAAGTTATGATTGAGATTTGAGTATAATAAAGTGAATTGATGTAGACCGCATATTTCTTTCCAAAAAAGGAAATGTGACACTTAATTTGGGACAACCCAAAAAGAAAACTAAGACATGTAAAGTGGGATGGGGGAAGTATATTCAATCCTTTAGGGCTTGTTTGGTGGAGGGGAGGGGAGGGGAGGGGAGGATTGTTGTTATTTTACTATTTTATCTGTATTTGATAATTTTAGACTAGAAATAACTATAAGATGTTAGGGTTCTGGGATTGAGAACGAGTCCAAGGTCGTCTTGCTGTGGCAGGGTGCGTGGGTGAGGGCAGAACCTGCCTACTAGGGTTACACCGCTTCTTGCCCGTGGCTGGAAGAGTGCAGGGGAAAGTCCATGACTTTTCTCTGGAATATTTCTAATGATCGATGGTTTTATTAATGCTGAATAAAGAGTATAAATAGGCATCCTGCCTTTACATGATAGAGTTCTAATCTAACAGAAACTATAACATCTAATAATTATATTCCTAATAGGAGTTCTAATCTAACAGAAACTGTAACCTCTAATACTTCTATTCCTAATAGGAAGTAATAAATAAAATATAAAAATAGCATCAAGATAATTCCCTCTTCTAATTAAACTCTTCTAATTAAACTTCCCGCTGGTTCTATAAAAATGCATCCGTAACATAAGCTTAGTGAGACCATGTATTATTACATAGTTTTTTAATCTTCACTTTATTTCTATCCTTATAAATGTAGAAATGATTTCAGAAATAGATATCACCCTTCTTCCCCTTCCCCTCCCCCTCCCCTCTGAAATCAAGGAATCAAACTAGCCCTTGGTGTCGTTTGTTCCATGTGCGTTATGGAATAGATGAGAAGCTCCAACCCAATTATGATTTTGAAGCTAAAAGGTAAAAACAAAGGAGAAATAGACTGCTAGATAAGTACACAATGTTGATTGTTTTTTTGTATGATTTGCAGAGCTCTTAGGGATGGATGTCAAACCATTCACTTTCACTTATGAAGAATTAAAGTTGGCTACAAATGACTTCAATGCTGATAATAAACTGGGAGAGGGAGGATTTGGACCTGTCTTCAAGGTAAACTATTTTCTCGTAACAATTCTGTGTACCAAAGTTCAGCATTGACAAACTGTTAACATTACTTATGGTTTTTCATTCAGAAATAAGTCACTCTTTTTCATCCGAGTTAATTCGATACAATCAAATGCCTCAATTTTTAGAAAGTGGCAAATTGAGAGCAAATAAGAAAAGGAAACTCATGCTTCTATGGAGCAACAAGAGATGCCCAAGTTGGATGGATCCATTTCTAGGGCATGAGGACAAAGGACTAATTGGCAGAATCAGTAGCCGTAGTGGGAACAAAGCAACATTTTTTCTTTTATCCTTTGTTTTTTCTTTTCGTATTGCTCACTTATAGAAAGAAACTTTATGGGTATGTTTGGATTGCCAAAAGTTCTAGGTAACAGAAAAAAATTTATAATAACAATTATTTTCTTATAAAAATAAATTGCTTTTACCTTGGAAAATGAAATCATCATTATCATTACCCCAGTGCCGCAAAGGCTCCCACCTTGGAAAATGAAAATGAAACAAAATATAATTCGTTATTTTTTTGACATACATCTTCTATATACAACAAACATAAATAAACAACACAAGTATTTACAAATGCGAAGTATGTAAAACAAATTCGATGAGATTTTAGCATGTCTTTTATTTCCTAAACATTTTCTCTTTCCTCAAATTTTCTATGATGTTATACTTCCTGTTTTTTCTTCCTCTAGTATTTTCCGAGTTTCAAGTGGATCGGGTAATAATAGGAATAGGTTTTCTTCTTCTCCTTATACGTATCTGTCTACGTCATAAACAGGGAACACTTCAAGATGGTAGAGATATTGCTGTGAAGCAACTGTCTGTGACATCACATCAAGGAAAAGCACAGTTTGTGGCAGAAATTGCTACCATATCTTCTGTCCAACATCGTAACCTAGTGAAACTATACGGATGCTGCCTTGAGGGAACCAAAAGACTCCTTGTGTATGAGTATCTCCAAAACAAGAGTCTTGATAAAGCACTCTTCGGTAGTAATTCCTGTCTCTAAATAAATTGCGTGTTTTTGTATGTATGTATGTATGTATGTATGTATGTATGTATGTATGTATGTATGTATGTATGTATGTATGTATGTATGTGTGTGTGTATGTGTGTATGTGTGTATGTGTGTGCATGGATGTGTGTATGTGTGTCCTGTGTCCTGTGTCCTGTGTCCTGTGTCCTGTGTCCTGTGTCCTGTGTCCTGTGTCCTGTGTTCTGTGTCCTGTGTCCTGTCTCCCGTGTCCCGTGTCCTGTGTGCTGTGTGCTGTGTGCTGTGCTGTGTGTTTGCTGTGTGTGTGTGTGTGTGTGTGTTATTCCTGTCCGGCCAAGCCGGACAGGAGGGTGGTCCGGCCACCCCAATTTGAGTTGGTTCCCGGTGGTATTTTTTGCTGAATTTTTTTTGTATGTTCCTCATCAAGTCTAGTTCATTCATACCAAACTTGAGCAAAAAATTCAATCGAGAAGGCCGGAATATAAATATAAAACGCAGTTATCTTTCAAAAATCATTTGACGGCCTTCCCGATTGAATTTTTTGCTCAAATTTGGTATGGATGAACTAGACTTGATAAGGAACATACACAAAAAACTTCAGCAAAAAATACCACCGGGAACTACCTCAAATTGAGGTGGCCGGACCACCCTCCTGTCCGGCCTCGCCGGACAGGAATATTTGTGTGTGTGTGACTGTGTGTGTGTGTGTGTGTGTATATATATATACATATCCTTGTTCTGAAACTCCCCATGTAGGCCTCCTGAGCCCGAATATCATCTAAGGGCTTTCCAGAGATTTTTAGAACATGAAATTTTCTTAGTTACTCAACATGGGACAAACATAAAAAAACAAACTAACATATACGTCAATATAAGGTGTTGTCAGCGCATATAGAGCTCGTTTGGTGACATTGTTTTTCAGCTCATCAGTCAATTTTTCACCAAACACGTAACTTTTGATTTCACACGCTGAATTGTGTAATACTTCCTCTGCCCAATTTGATTTGCAAAATTTCCTATTTTGATTGTCCCAAAGTGATTTTCCACTTTCTATTTTAGGTATGTAAATAAGAATAAAATGTCAAATTTACCCTCACTTTTACTTTTTCTCCATTAACATAAAGACATTCACTTTTAGGAAGATGGACAAGAGTGTAATAAGCAAACATCATTTATTGTCATTCCTTAATCCTTGTGCCGGTCAAAGTTTGCAATTCAATTCGGGATAGAGGGATTAATAAGAAAAAGTAAAGTTGAAGTTACTTTTCTGGTTGTATTGGCTAAAGTTATTGTAGATGATCATTTTAGCTATTTTCATACAAATGTTTCTTAATTTTATTAATAAAAAAATTAAATATAATCTTTTCATGAATCACAAGAATCAGCCACTTCAGTCAGAACTTCACAAATTTCAATAAAATCAACTGATTCAGCCAATTTCAGTGTTACGAAACGAGCTCATAAAGTCCAAATGAGTAATTCAGTATTTGTTAGCTTAAAAAGAATCACATAGACTTTAAAGTTTCAAAGAACCACCATCTTGTGAGATATGTTACAACAACAACATCCAAGCCTTAATCCCAAAAGATTTTGGGGTCGGCTAACATGAATCGATCCACGATATCACAACCAAAAAGAGAAGAAAGATAAGAAGAATTAAAAAAGTAAGATAAAATACATAAGATAAAGATAAATATAAGATAACAATAACATAAGAACATAAGAAAGATAAAGATAAAAAGATAAAAGAACATAAGAAAGATAAAAGTTAAAAATAACATAAAAACATAGAAAGATAAAGAAGATAGATTATAAAAGAAAAGAGAGAGAAATTAGATATTGATATGTAAGGTTTGGGTACTTTTTGTTTATTATATGATGGAATCCCAAATCTTAATATATAATATGAGCATACTCTTAGGTGTATATATTTCTTAAAAGCACAAGGACAAGGTCAATATTTTATGGTTTATAACACATTGCTTGTTTGAGCAGGAATTAAGAGCTTGGATCTGAACTGGTCAACTCGTTATGAGATTTGCTTGGGTGTGGCAAGGGGTTTGGCTTATCTTCACGAGGAGTCACGGCTTAGAATCGTACATAGAGACGTGAAGTCAAGTAACATTTTACTTGATGCTAACCTTATCCCCAAAATATCAGATTTCGGTTTGGCCAAACTTTATGATGACACAAAAACCCACATAAGTACACGGGTTGCTGGAACCATGTAAGTTGAAGATACCTGAATCAAAAGTTACGTGTTTGGCTTTATTTTTTATGTTAGTGGGGAAAATAAAAGTTAGGCTAAAACTCAATAATGTATTTTCGATACTTATTTAAACTCAATAATGTATTTTAGATACTTATTTAAACTCAATTTTATTTAATTATGTCTATTACATAAAGATTTAACAATCTCAATAAAAATAGAATTTAAAAAACAGTAATCGTATATCAGTTTTTCTTTGCATTTTCCAAGGGAAAACTAAGCACAAGAAAAAAGAATCCTTAACATTTTGTTCCCTTTCCCCAACATTTTCCTGGATCCAAATATATTCCATCGTTTCCCTACTATTTTCTGGGTTCTAAACATAGCCTAATGGATTGTGCATACAATTGTTTATGATGCAGTGGTTATTTAGCCCCAGAGTATGCCATGCGGGGCCATCTTACAGAGAAAACCGATGTGTTTGCCTTTGGTGTTGTGTCTCTCGAGGTTGTCAGCGGTAGACCAAATTCTGATCCGAACTTGGAGGAAGAACAAATGTATCTTCTTGATTGGGTAAGATAGATATATCTATTCTGTGCATTTGTTTTTCTTTTAAAAACCCGCACATTTTATTAATAACAAAGAAAGTTACAGGAGTGTGACATATACCAAGGAGTAGGGCCAACCCTCCATGGGCATACCCCACGGGATATACTAGACATAGAATACAATAGCCATAGGAAAAACGGCTACAGCCAAAAGCTGAACAATAGGAAGCTATAGAGTAAAATCCATGCCAGCGAGACAATGACATAACCCAATGGATATTCTTGTTTAGACACACTGCACAAAAGGGAAAAGGCTAACCAAGCCAGAAAGAAAGGATAAGGAAGGGAAAAGGTAGCCATAGGAAAAATGGCTACAACCAAAAGCTGAAGAATAGGAAGCTATAGAGTAAAATCCATGTCAGCGAGACAATGGCATAACCCAATGGATATTCTTGATTAGACACACCGCACAAAAGGGAAAAGGCTAACCAAGCCAGAAAGAAAGAATAGGGAAGGGAAAAGGTAGTCCTAGTCAAAGACTAAAAGTCTAGCCCACACTTCCAACTTCTGGATGTAGTTTACATAAGAGGCAATAACCAACTCAAGTAAGCTAAATATAAATGGGTGAGTGAAGTAAAAAGGATACCAAATTTTCAGATAAGACCAGGCATCATCTGGACAGGTAGGAGGAGGATAAGATTCAGCTATGAAAATGTTCAAGGTAGACAGTAGGCAGTTGTGACTACCCAATATTCTGAAAGTCCTCAGTGAAATTCCTTTGTTCAGCTAAGGAATCAGCACTCGGCAGCAACATTACTGACTCTGCAAGAGTATAAAATGTCCAACTCTCCAAGCTGCGCTTTTTCTATAACTTACTGATTTTGTGACGGAAAATAGTCTTAAGCCAGTTAGCAGCCTCATTGCTCTTTATAAGCTTCACTGTATCTTTTGAGTCATAGTCAATTATAACTTTGGTCAAATTGAGGTCATGACAGAGTTTAGTCCCTTTGTAAATGGCTTGGAGCTCACTGTTCAAGGCATTATGAGATTTTTGTGCATTTGTAATCCTTTAATGTTTGTTTTTTCACATGCATATAAACTGCCCTTTTTACGGTTAAAGAATGATCCATTTAGCTTTTTTGTTGAAATGTTTTTCTTTTAGAACTAAGACTTTGATATTTTTGTTTGTTATCTGAATTAAAGCTAGATTATTAATGAGAAGGGAATGATTTTCTGTCTTTTTCATTGAAGGGTTAATAAATACATATTACTAATAGACTTTGATAGTTTACTTTTTCATAGAATCCAAAGATGTTTGAACCTGTAAACAGTTGAGAATAAAAATTCAATACTATAGAGTATCTATACTCGGTGCCCATTTGTCAATCAGTTTTTTTCTGCATAAAATTACTAATTTATATTTGGCTATGTTGATTGAATCCGCTGATAAGAAATAAAAATTACTGATTTCGTGGTTACTTTTTTAATGAATGGAAATGGCCTTTCTAGTTTCTACACTCAGTTATACTCTCTCCTTTTCATATTGCTTGTTCCACACGGGTTACAATATTTGACTTAGCATAAAGCTATTTCCCTTCTTCTGTCCTGATAGCTCATAATTTAGTGCTAGTAAAGAATAATTACATTTCTAGAATCAACAATAAAAGCTCGTTGAACCGTGAAAAACGGATATCGAGTATAGCAAAAATTTGGGATGTATAACCATAAATTAAATGAGAACTGGATTAACCATAAAGTAAGCTCTTTAAAAAAACAGAGTAATAGCTGGGACAACTAATTTGAAATGAGACAATCATCATCATCATCACCCCAGTGCCACAAAGGCTCCCACCTACTAAGGGGTAAGGGGAGGATCAGATGTACACAACCTTACCCTTGTACTAAAGCACAGAGAGGCTGTTGAAATGAGATAGTGTATTATTTTATATAACTTGCTTGAAATACATTTCAAATAAGTTTTTAGATAATTTAGTCATTTTTATCACAACTTCGGAAAATTCAGCTTTTGGAGTTAAAACACAAGCACACACACATATCCATTGGTTGATTTGTTGTTCCTTATATTCTTGGCTATTCTAGGCGTGGAACCTATATGAAGGAAAACAAGCACATCTACTGGTGGATCCAAGACTGTCGAAATTCAATGATGAAGAAGTGAAACGTCTGATAGGAGTTGCGCTTTTGTGCACCCAAACATCACCCACACTACGGCCGTCCATGTCGCGGGCAGTGGCAATGCTTCAAGGAGACATTGAGGTTAGCACTGACATCTCGAGGCCTGGATATCTCACTGACTGGAAATTTGATGATGTCAGCAGCATAGTCAGTGTTGGTTTGTACAATGGAAGTGAAACTACTTACTATAACTCGTCTACAGCGGGGACCAGCACAGCGACGACAGACCTTGAAGTTGCATTATCGCCCGTTGGTCCCAGTCAACCTATTTTTATCCACTCCAAAATTTCCGAAGAATAGTCTAACTCTGTTCCTAAGACTCCTTAATAAAGGTAAGAAACTTAAGTTACTTGGTTTTCCCATGAGTATCAAGTCATGTACTCTTGTCTGTAATTAGGGTATTGTAAATTCTTGTCTCTAATGGCGGGTTGTAACTTGTAACTTGGGAAGGTTGCATTGATTAATCCATATGCCTTCAAACATGTGAGTGATAGCCTGTGTGTTATACCTGGTTGATATCAATAGAAATAATGCTGTAGCAATAGTTATAAACTACTCGATAGCTAACTTGCTGTATTATCATATTATGAACATTTTGTTAGATTGTTAGATTATTAATTTTATAGTACGATATTGATAATTATAAAACATGTCTCGCAGATGTATTTAAGATGTATTCATAATATATCGGTGGCAAAACAGCCCCCACCATATTTTGGACTGGATGAACGTAGGGATGGATTCGGTTCGGGCCACCCGGCCCGGTACTGTGCGGGCCCGGGACCGGCCCGGTCGGGCGGTCCGGGACCGGGTCTGGGCCCGAACCGGGGGGGAGGGGTGGGGCGGGCTCGGTTCATCATTTTTGTGACCCGGCCCGGCCGGGTCGGGCCGGGTCCGAGTCTATTTAAAAAAAAAACTTTTTTTTTTTATTTTTGGCTACTAGCCGTTGAGGCCTTGGGGGTGGGGCTGGGGACAACCCAAACGGCTATATAGCCGTTGGGTGGGGTAAAGGGGGGGTCCGGGGGGTTGGCTGGTAGGGGGTGGGGGTGGGGGGGGGGGTAAAAAAACCTATAAATTCTCCTACTCTTAAACATTTTTTCATATCTCTTCTCCAATTCTTCCTAAATCCTATTCTTAACTCTCTACTCTCTAATTCTCTTATTCTCCAATATATTATATATCTACTCTCTAATTCTCTTCTCCAAGAAGTTAAGATGGAAAATCAAAATGCCATTATACGGTATAATTTTGATAAGCAGAAGGACCCGAAGACCGGGATGTGGTACGCAATTTGTAAATGGTGCGAAAAAAATGTATTATGGGGGCTTCAGGCGCATTCGGGATGGCAATCAAGCATATGAAGTCATGTGACAAAGCCAAAGGATCCGGAGGTGCGGGAAGTTCCGATTGATTACAATTTTCAAAATGTTTATCTCTTAAAGTTTGTTTTAATTTTCAAATGTAGTTCCTATTTCATTTCAAATAAATGCAATTGAAGTTTGTTTTTAATACTCGTATCAAACTATAAACTATAAAATATAAAATATAAATTATAAAAAAAAAAAAAATTAACCGGCCCGGCCCGAACCGGACCCGACCTGTGACCCGGGCGGGTGGCCCGGCCCGAACCGGACCCGTCCAACCCTCGGGCCGGTCCCGGGCCCACTGTTCTTGAACCGGCGGCCCGACCGGGCCCACTGTTCTTGAACCGGCGGCCCGAATCCATACTAGATGAACGAGTGTGTTATAGTGATTTTATTAATTGTATTTTTAATATTCTGTATTTCTGTACTCTATTTTTTCTAGCATTTTTCTGAAAACGATTAAAATACTAAAATAGCAATTTTGGATGCCTAGAATCGGCTCGTGAACAGGACGAGAACTGGGGAGATAAATTGAAATGGACCTGGGTATATAAGAATATAAGATGTACTGAAACTGAATCTAAAATCGAATTGGAATTGACTTGTCGGGTTGGAAAAGTAATTTTATTCTCAAAGAGACATTTTTGTCTCATTGAGACCTCATGTATAAATAGAAAATCATACTTTTGTCACTGCGTTATTTTTAAAAAACTGTGCTAATTTAAATATAAATTACTTACCTAACCAAATGATGTACTGAAATTGATTAATTTTCTAAGATTGCATGTAGTCATTTTGCAAGCAAAATTTTAATATGCAATACCAGGATATAATCACAAATGTGTGAATAAGAGAGACATTGAACACTAAAGAGTAGTTATAGACTTATAGTGAGAATGATTGATAAGTCTACATTTCAACATATTTATGTCCATGTGTGTATTTAGAACAAATTTATGCACTCCTATTGGACAAAATTGTGTCACTCAATGCCAAGTTTGAGATAACATCAATCCCGCACAGGCAACTCAGTTGGTTACAAGGTTGAAATTTGGAACAAGTGACCCGGGATCGAGTTCCGCAAGCGACAGTGTAAGAGTAATCTCTCAATATTATGGAGACTTCTTGTGCACAATGGGCACTGGTCTAACCTTTGTGCTCAGTTGAGTTACCATAACCCCTCATATGCTCTGCCGAGTTGTGACGTGAGGAGCCCTTGAGATCGTGGATTCAAGCCTTTCTAAACAAGAGATCATCTCGATTTCTTATTTTGTTTGATAATTTTAGCAATTTAATCCTAACACAATAATTGTAGGATAAATTCAGAAAAGACTCCATGAATACATAATGGTATACTGGAATTCTTATATCATATAATAAATTCACACATCATTATCTCTCTTTTTAGTCTCTCAAATAGTATCCACATTAAAATGTGATATCCGTATTTTCGAGTTGATAAATGTCATACCTCAATGATCGAAATTGTTGTAAATGTGGTCAATTGACATATTACATATTGGGCGATGACCATATTTACAATAATTCAGACAATTGAGTGATGACATTCACACACTTGAGAGAGAATACATGAGTATATTTCAACGTGTGCACTATTTGAGGGTCTGAAAATGCAATTCCAACTTCATACTCCGTAAATTTTAAAGGGAAGATTTGACTTCGCATCCCATATTTTGGATGATATTAAACTTTACACCCACTTTGAAACTCATTAATGTATGCACTCCATTAGCACAATAATTCTAAAGGAATGGAATGAAAAATTCAAGTGATTTTATAGTGAATTGATATATATATATATATATATATATATATATATATATATATAGGTTCAAGACCGTTAGATTGTATTCTTTGAAATTGAATGTGCATTAAGTGAAACTGAAATGTGCATTAGGTGAAATCGAAATGTGCAGTACAAAATGTAAGACATAGTGGTATTATGTGAAGCTGAATTGTGCATTATGAAAAACTAAAATGTGCACTACGTGAAACTGAAACGTGCAGAATAAAAACTAGGATGCGGTGGCATTTTTGTGCCTTTTATTCTGCACATTTCAATTTCATGTAATGCACATTTGAGATTTATTTTTCATTCTGCACATTTCAATTTCACGTAATGCACATTTCAGTCTTACCAAATGCATAATTCAATTTCATATAATACAATCCAACGGTCTAGATTCATTCTCATTTCTCTCCTGGGAGTCCTTTCTCACTGGAACCACTCCCTATACATATATATATATATATATATATATATATATATATATATATATATATATATATATTGAGTTCAAATAAAAAGACTCATTTATATGAAAAGTGAGAAATCATCTCAACCACTGATTTCATCTCTCGGTTCTCTTATACGAAATTAATAGAAAGGGTCTTTTTAGTCATCTCACCGTTTCATTTATTTTGATAGTCACGATTGTTCCTCCTCTTCCGCTCATCACGTTCCTACTCTCCCTAATCATCTTCTCTCGTAACTCCAAAAATGGTAACTGCTAGTTTGAACATCCAAATTACGTTTTCTGACAAAGGCCCCTCAACGTTTACTCGAAGTCTAAGGATTTGGCCTGTTGATGTCTTCTTCCCATAGCAATAATATGATTAACCCTGGTACGTTTTTGTGTGTTTCTTTTGTGAATTCCTTATTCTTTTAGATTTAAAGTTTACAATTATCATATATTCTATGTTCTTTTTAATTTTCATAGCCTTCCTTTAAATCATGAAACTTGACGATATCATTTAAGTAAGATATGTCTTTTGTGTGTGCATGGAAATCATATTAATTGGTCTGTAAATTGTTTCCTGAATTATGTTATGTGTTTGAAGTTTCCGTTTTGAAGTGTTAGGTTAAAGTGTTATAGTTACATGAATTTTCCTCTTAATAATATTCTTTTAGTTTGAATAACCCTATATTGAGATTATGGAATATGATTTTGTTCTTTTTTCATTGTTTGAGCATGGATAATATTGTTTGGGGCCAAAACTTTTTCTCATTCGTTTTTGTTGTTAGAATTAATCAATTTATTGCTACATTTATGTTATATTGTACACATTAAATCCTGTAATTGTGTGTGCGTTCATTCGTTATGATTCTTTTCTTATACGGATTGCTTGTCATTTGCAGATATCCCATGTGTGTTGCTGCTATTTTATTGTATTTTGTTGCACTAATTGCACAATCTATAGCAGTTACGTGCATGGCGGTGATACTTCATATGTTTTTGTAGGTACAATATGGTTTTCACCCCTTTCACCGGTGTGGACAACCACAAGAAATGCATCGCCTATGTTGTCGATCTTCTATCGAAATAGTATGTTGATTCGTTTGTGTGAATTTTTACGCGATTCCTCAATGCAATGCATCGTGAACTAAATTGCATAGTTATTGATCATGATTCGGCTATGCGAATTGCTATTGAAATAGTTTTCGATCACGCACGTCACTGGTACTGTATGTGGCACATTATGAAGAAGCTTACATTAAAGGTTGGACATGTGTTGAGTCATAATGAGGAGTTTATGTTCAAGATCAATTATTCTGTTGTTTGGACAATTTTTTTGGAGCCAACTGAATTTGAAGGTGGATGAATGTCTGATATGCAAGAGTTTGATTGGGTTAATCATGAAGAGTTTGAAAGAACTTTTCATGGCTGCTGTTGATCCATATGTCATTTCATCATCAAAAGATAGTCATTCGAGGGTTTTATTGTTCATCTTCACCTATAGAAGCATCTATTTTTTCTCCTCAAGTGGCAAAGAATAAGGGTTCTGGTAGCCGAATTAAGGGTGCAAAGGAGGTTGTCATTGATGAAAATAAACGAGCAAAAAGATTGTGTAGGGCATGTAACCAAATGAGTCATCATGATAGAAGAAATTGTCCCACAAACAAGGGAACTTAGATATTTTATTGTTTTATTTGTAATAATGTAATTAAAATTTGAACTATTGTGTAATTAAAGTTTTATTGTTTATTGTATGTTTATTACTTTCACGGTCTAAACTCTTACTATTTCTTTGATAGCACTTGTTCCACTTATTCAAAGTCTTATTAGGTTACATTGCACTGAATTTTGCTTTTTATTCATTTCATTGAAATTTATTATTGTATTACATATGCAAAGTTAACCTCTGTCTGATGACCAAGTCCCATTTTTTAACATACATATCAATTACACTTTTTTCCAACACATCGTTGCCTTAATAAAATACATAAAGTGTACACATATATCACAAAAGTGCATCAAAATACCTGATAAAATATGCACTCATGGTTGCACTAGCACTTGTTCCAGTTATTCAAAGTCTTATTAGCTTACATTGCATTGGATTTCACTATTTTATTTATTTTATTGAAATTTATTGTATAACATATGAAAAGTTACTTCTGCCTCATGACCAAGTCCCATTTTTAACATACATATCAACAACATTTTTTTCCAACACATCGTTGCCTTAACAAAACGTAGAAAGGGTACACATATATCACAAAAGTGAAAAGTGCATCACAATACTTGATAAAATATGCACTCGTGGTTGCACTTTTAATCACCTATCCACTTTGTACTTGAAACATTTCCACATTTGCTTATACTGTATGTTGTGATTAAATTTCCACATTTGCTAATATTGTATCTTCCTCTATGTGGTTCTTTTAAAGTTCTTATCTTTCCTTTTTTTCTTCTCATTTGCACTTGTCTTTGCACGCTCACTATGTTTCACAGGTTACTTTGGTGTTGTCACAAAATCCTCGCCATTGTCCTCATGTTGTAGTTGTACTTGATTGTAATTGCATTGCTTTGGCACCATGCTAGAACTTCCAGTTTTTATATTCCCTCCGCTGCGTGTGCACGCTGCAATTTGCAACCATTTTTTCTTCACCTTTCCTCTTCCTATGTTCACTTTCTCCCGCAACTTTTCCTGAATCATTCAGTAGACATAGCCATTCATTAAGTATTTGAATCACGCATTAGTAATTAGACATTATGCACAGTTCTTTGTTCACTTGCATTTCCAAACCAATAGCATGTCATTCATAACACTTTTTCACTTATTCAAACTATCCTGACTTTCCATTGCACATAAATTTGCTTTTATTGTTCTATATATTACACCTTCTTGGATTATATTCATTATTTAAGTATTTTCATCACACAAGTCTAATTACAAATTACACAGATTATTATTTATTGGTTTATATTCTAATCAAACAACTACCAATATAACTACTTCACAAGTAACCACTATATGCGTTTTCCCTCTGTGTAATTCCATTTTCCCTATTCAACTTCAAACCTTCATTCCCTCCCTCAGTATGCAACATTTATTGTCCCCAAAAATATTACAAAACATTTTATCTGATATGCTACTTTACATTCCTAGAAATCACTTTTGTTAATTTCTATTACACCCTAACTTTTTTTGTTGTTGTACACGCAGACATTTTTCCCATGTATCCACTGCATTTCAGAATAAACTCGGTAGGGTTTTAAGCAACTTCATTACATTTTCAGTCCATGTTTTTCATTTTATTTATTTTACATCTCAGTTTTCCTACCACGCCAAAAAATACAGTGTTATAGTTAAATTCCCTAGCTGCACTGTACTTTTACGGTTTGCACAAAAGTGGAGTCAAAGTACAATAGCAGAGAACTGAAAATTCCAACTGAAATGCATATATTTCTACTCCTTTTACATTCTTTAACCACCAAACTCATATATCGGCATATATACCCCACAATTGCACATCACTTTCACTTTCATTACATTATCATTGCACTTTTGGAGTTTTCTAGCATTACTACACTCATAAACAAATTTTGGATTTTCTAGAAATGTATATCACTTCTAGGATTACCTAGTGCTGCGACGATGTCTTTTCTTGCTTTGTCCGCCATTTCATTCACTTTCCAACTCTATGAAACTTCTTGCAATTGTTTCTCTGCGCTTCGTTCGTCTTCCCTTTGTCTCGCACGAATATGCGAGTTTTATTACGAAATGGAAACATTGAGTTCTAGGGATGATGGACATCTTGCATCAAAATGAACTGTAATTCGGCCACTTTGATTTACGAAACAGCCCTTGGATATATTGGCACGCTTCTTTCCGTCCAATAAGAATGTATGTAGTGTGTGCGTCCTCACTTTAATCATCGTGGACTGCATCATCCCAGTCGTTATTTTTATGGTTTGCACGGTTTAGATAATTTCTTATTTTGCACCTGAGACCCTCTTTTGCATCATATTTTTTAAAAGAATTAATATATATATATATATATATATTAATTCTTTTAAAAAATATGATGCAAAATTGAATATCACTCATAAAATTGGTACAAAATAAAATTCTCTATTTTTTGAGGGAAAATTCTCTCTGTTTTAAAATAGACTTTCTATAGTTTAATAGTTTGTGATAGTTAAAGCACATGTTAGAACAATGTTTTATAAAATCTATAATTATGTGGTTACATGAAATTTGTACATGCCCGTTTGGAGGAGGAATAACTGGCTAATAAGCCTCAAAAGCTATAAAAATAACCAAACGCCTATTGAATTGGCTGGTGTGGCTGTTTTTTATTATCAACTCAAAAAGTAAGTGAATAACTACTTTTTCAGCTGAATTCTATTATCCTTCTACTGAACTATTAGAAGACACTTTTATCCTTGCTTTATTAACCCAAAGCTCACCTCTGGAAACCTACAACAGTGCTTCCGATCTCCCCTCATGGCCTCATAAATAGATTCATGCGTATAAATTCTAGGTAGTATACTCGATTGGAAACCTACGTATTTGATTGAAACCTGCCTTCAACAATTATAATTTCTAGTGGGCCGTATAGTACACTACGTATTTGATACACTCACACGCATTATTTAATATGGTGTAATAATAATATTAATACCCTTTATGGTAATTACACATTCAATCAGTCACTTCAACTAGAATAATACTCTGTGCCAAACACTCTCACTTCAAAAATTTCAGCCATTTCAACTGTTGAAGCTAGTACCAAACGGGCCCTTATTTGTGTTATTAATAACTACTCCCTCCGTCTCGATGAATTCTTCCAACTTTCCTTTTTCGACCGTCCCAATAAATTCTTCCAACTTTCCAAAAAAGGAAACCAACCCATACTAAAAATCCTATTTTACCCTCCCGAATTAAAAATCATATCCCATTTCCCATCTCTCATTTACCCCATCTGCATCCCTCTCTCTCATTTACTCCCACCACCTCCTCTTTCTCTGTCATTGCATCTGTCTCTCTCAATTTCTCCAACCGTCTCCCTCTCTCATTTACTTCAACTGTCTCCCCCTCTGTAAATCTATCTACCCTTCCGCCTCCCCCTCTCTCACATTTTTATGGATCTAAACCCTAATACTTTCAGTATGGAGAATATTGAAGAGTTCATCGTCTCTGACAGTGAAGAGGGTCTTCTTCCGGAGGAAGCGGTGGCGTTGGACTTTGCAGACACTGTATTGGTACTCCATCCGAGGTGCATGGATCAGAACTCCCCGGAAGAGGATGCCCTCCTGATAATCCCAGACAGTGAAGACGACCTTCCCGAGGATGTAAACGAGAAGCCTACAGAGGTTTTGGGGGAGACGGTGGACCCAAATATGCTAAAAAGACGCAAAGACATCAACATGCATCCTATTCGGAGAAGTCCTCGGCTGGAAGAGTTCCTAACACTAATTTTGCCAAAATAGGAAACAAGGATGTGGGATGTGGACACAGATTAGGGGAGTTTCTTCTATACCCTATATTCATTTATGGTTTAATTCGTACTCTATGTCCATTGTGTGATTTTTGGGGGAAGCAATGATGAAAAATGGTTTTTATTGATGTTTTATTGTGATGCATGTGGCTTGTACATGATTGTTTGGTATGATAAATGGTAGTTACGCATACTGTGATGAAAGTAGACCTTGTGTGTACTGGTCCTTTATGCATACTGTCATGAAACTGTCCTTTGTGTATTCTGGTTGTGTAAGTAATTTGTCATGAATGTATCCCTACTGGTCCTTTATGCATATTGTGATGAAAGTAGACCTTGTGTGTACCGGTTCTTTATGCATACAGTGATGAAAGTAGGAGGTCTGTGTATTGGTTCATTATGAGTGGTATGCTATGATGAAAGCATTAGGCCTGTGATATGGTAGTTCAATATGCTTCTACTATTACAAAATGTCTGAGTATGCTTCTACTTGTACAAAATGTCTGAGTATGCTTCTACTTGTACAAAAGGTCTGAGCATGCTTCTACTTGTACAAAAAGGTCTGAGCATGTTTGTACTACTTCTAAATGTTTGGCTGTCCTTGAAAATTAAGGCCTGTACAAAAAACAAAAAATTAAGGCCTATACTGTTAAACCCAATATTCCAAAACATGGCAGTAGATGTACTTCATCACTGAAGATGATGATGATCATCATCTTCTTCAATTATGAAGTTCCCCTGACTTTCAGTATCCCCTGGTTGTTGCCCTAGAATCTGTTCTGTTGCTTCCAATAATTCAACATCTACCTCAATTGTATTTGGAAGTCTCCTTTCTGTCTGCATCCTATCCTTTGCATTGTGTGGTAGCTTGTAATTGTTCCCTCCCTGCATTTTCATTACTTCAATCATAACATACTGATATCTTAGCCATACTTTGTTTAGAGTCATAGGTGATAGTTGTTTGAAAGCATCATCCACTGCATGTAACAGTTCATCAACAGTCTTGGGTGCACTATGGTCTTTCAAAGATTGTATTGCCCTAAAAACCCCTAGTTCTAGGATGTTAAGGTCTGGAGAATTGGGTGGCTGGTTAGTAAGGGTGATAGTAAACCCATCTGCCATGGAAGCACTCATGTACTCTGCATCATTATGTGAAATGTGTGGCCTTGCATTGTCTTGTTGTATTATGATTTCTTTGATTAGCTGTGGAGGCCATTTTTCCTTGATTGCTGGGAGGACTGTGTTGATTAACATGTCCTTGAACACTTTCTTTGTTATGCTAAGGATAAGCTTGGTTTCCATAACACCTGCATTTCTGTTTTTGCTTCTTCTTTTTGCTGCAACCTGTTCAACAAATGGAAACATGCCTATTTTTCCATCCCAAATGACCTTACCACTTTCTGAAAATAGGGGACTACCCACTACACCTAGGGACATTACCTTAGTTATGAACCTCTTAGATTTGCATACTCTGTGTGGATTAGTCTCTTCCAACCTCGTGTATAATCTTTGAGATGTTTTTGTCATGAAAACCCATTTTCATCAATGTGAATCACATTCTTAAATGTTTGAAAACTAGGCTTCTGTGGCACTGACTCCTCTATTTGACTAAGACAAAACTTCAGTCTTTGCAATTTATTTGCATCACTTAGAAATGGGTTTATTGCATTTGTATGCCTTCTGAGCTTACCACTGTGAACCAATTTGTGGACACTTGATTTTGATATTGAGGTGGAAGCTGCTAATGACCTTATGTTAGTCCTTTTATGCAGTGGGATCTGTGATATGTGAGATAGATCAAATTCAATCCTTTTTCTACCAGGCCACTTCCTACGCACATCTACTGCCACTAGTACAAAAAAAGCTTTTTACATCTCCTTTTCTACATGTGTTATTTTAAAACACATGTACAATACTAACATGGGGTCATTTTTATAATTTTTATAAACATTTTTACATAGGTTGTAGTTATAACCCATGTGAAACACCAAAACGGGGTACTTTTTAAAATTTTAAGAAATAATCTAAATCGATTATAATTGCAACCGATGTGAAAAAAACGGGGTAATTTTCAGAATTAATGAAACTTTATTTTAGATCGGTTAAAACCGATGCGGAAGAAATTAAAAAAAGAAAAGAATCGTTGTTATTCTAGATCGCTGTTACCCGATCTAGATGAATTAAAATTTTCTAGGGCCTGCACTTAGCCGATTTGAGAGAGATAGAATCGTTATCTGCGTGAAGGAAAAGAAGACAGAGAGATTGAGAGACGGAAGGGCGACAAAGAGATTGAGAGACGGAAGGGCAAGTTATAGCAGTTCGCGCCTAAGCGAGTTAGGGCTTTGGACGGACTTCGAGCAGCCAGTGGACGACGTTCGAGCGGCCAGTGATGGACGGCGTTCGAGTGGAAGCGGGCGACGCTCGAGTGGATGTCGGACGATGTTCGAGCAAACGGCTGAAAGTGTTCGAGCAGACAACGGAAGGTGTTCGAGCAGATAGCGTTCTAGCGGCTTTCTGAGTTCGAGTAGGCGAACCTTCCTCTTCGGCCTATCTTTGAGCGAGTGGACTTTCGTCAGTTGGCTATTTTCTCTAAAGGTATAATTTTATTGGTTTTCTAAACTATTTTTACCATGATTCTGTTGTTATATTTGAAAGTAAATGTCTGAAATCTGCCGTTGGAATGTTAGGGATTGAATACTTCATAATTCTAGAATGAATACTTCATATTTCAACTATTAGAAAGCTTATTATGGTATTGAATACTTCATAATTTTAACTAAACCAGTTTAATCTTTTTTTAGTAGATTATGTCAGATTTGGAGATATGTGAAGTATATTGTTTTAGTAAAAAAATGGAGGCTGTAGATTATGGAAAATCAAAAATTATGGTATGGAATAATCTCCAATTAAATATAGAGAGCCTCCTGTAATCGGATATTCATAGTGATTAGGTTCATTGACAACACTGATCCGGCTAGCATTGATCATCAAATAGCACAACTTGGACCAGAGCTGGCATCAACACTTGTTATTGTGACCTCTAAGAGTGGAGGCACCCCTGAAACCCGAAATGGTCTACTAGAAGTACAGAAGGCCTTTCGTCAAGCAGGGCTTGAATTTGCAAAACAGGGAGTTGCCATTACGTAAACAATTCATTGCTTGACAAGACTGCTATAAGCGAAGGATGGATTGCCAGATTTCCTATGTTTGATTGGGTTGGTGGTAGAACTTCTGAAATGACTGTTGTTGGTTTGGTTCCTGCAGCTCTTCAGGAAATTGATATAAGAGAGATGCTTGTTGGTGCTGCATTAATGGATGAAACGAATAGGAACAATGTTGTCCATGATAACCCTGCATCGCTTCTTGCCCTATGTTGGTACTGGGCGACTAATGGAATATGAAATAAGGATATGGTCATTCTTCCATACAAGGATAGCATGTTATTGTTCAGTAGATATTTACAACAGCTGGTCATGGAGTCACTTGCAAAAGAATTTGATCTGGATGGTAATAGGGTGAATCAAGGGATCACAGTATATGGAAACAAAGGGAGCACAGATCAGCATGCTTACATCCAGCAGCTGAGAGAGGGGGTGCACAATTTCTTTGTCACTTTTATTGAAGTACTACGTGACCGGCCTGCCGTTCATGATTGGGAGCTTGAACCTGGTGTCACCTGTGGTGACTACCTTTTTGGAATGTTACAGGAAACAAGGTCAGCCCTTTATGCCAATAATAGAGAGTCTATTACTATAACAGTACAAGAGGTGACACCTAGATCGGTTGGTGCCCTAATAGCTCTCTACGAGCGAGCTGTCGGTATTTATGCTTCACTGGTCAACATTAATGCTTATCATCAGCCTGGTGTAGAAGATGGGAAGAAAGCTGCGGGAGAAGTTCTAGCGCTTCAAAAGTGTGTTCTTGCAGCACTTAATGAAGCCAGCTGCAAAGAGCCTATTGAACCACTAACACTTGAAGAATTAGCTGATCGATGTCACGCCCATGAAGATATTGAAATGATCTATAAGATTATACAACACATGGCAACAAATGACAAAGCTTTGATTGCCAAAGGCAGCTGCGGTTCACCTCGTAACATTAGAGTGTTTCTGGGCGAATGTAACGTTGATGACTTGTATGCCTAGTTATATTTACAACATAAAAACATTTAACCTTGTATGCAAGCTACTAAGTTTTTGCCGAAGAAATAAACATTATTCGTTCCAAAATAAACTTCCTGTTTTATATTCAAGGCACAACAATCTTCTCAAAAAAATAAATAGAGAGCCTCCTATAATTTTGAGCCTCTCTATATTTTTGAACTAAACCAATTTATTCCATACCACAAATCTACTAAACCAATTTATTCCATACCATAATTTTAACCATTTTAGCTTATTCCATATTGGAGACTCATTATCTGATATAGTAGATTATGTTCTAGCCTCGTTAGAATTGGAGGATGTAAAGCTTGTTCTGGATGGAAACTCCTTAGATGTTGTTGGTGCAAAATTAATTGCTCAGAAAGCAAAGGGAATGTCCCGAATCAGTATATCACTCAGTAAACTGGTTGGTGCTGCTTCATATTCATATATGTTTCTTGTTAAATTTTGAAGCGTGCATTTGTAAATAAATTGCAGGGTACAATTGCTTTTTACGGTCACCTTCTCACAATTGAGACCGAAGACGGAAGAGCTGTTCTGAGTTAGAGCTTTTGACAGACTTCGAGCGGCTGGCGTTCAAGCGGCTGACGTTCAAGCGGACGACATTCCAGCGAACTGCGGGCGGCGTTCGAGCAGCGGGCAGGTCATCGTCTTCAGCAATTTACGGTAACTCCCAAACTCTTAAATCGTTTCCCTTCTTCTGCGAACTGGTCTGTAGCTTTACCTTTGCTCTTCTCTGTTTCTCTGTCGGTATTCGAACACTTCTGTATAGTGCTCCGTCTGTATCAGTCTGTAATACTCCAACATCACATGTATTTTCTCAAAACAATTTACCCTTTGCTTAGCCTATAATTTCCAATGTCAAACTGATGCACATACTCCGTATTACTTTTCTTTTTTCCAATATTATAAAACAATGTTAAATATTTTTCAGTAATTTTAAGGGTATAAGTGTAATGGATTACCCTGAAATTAATAATGGCGGTGTTACAAACCTACACAGTTTTACTATTTATTTTCAAACTTGTAATGATATATCATTACAATAATTTCCTTTGCAAATAACATTTGTATACATGTTGTTGTGAACAGTTTATACACTGATGGAGAATATGGCCCGGGAACCCCCCGCCCACAGACTCCTACTACTCCAATAAAGGCCCAATAGGCCCAGGAAGCACAACAGGCCCAAATCACGGCGCCCAAGGCACCAAGCAGCCCACAATGCGCACCAGGGGGTGCCTTCGGCCCCCTGACCGAAGGGTCTGATTCTCACAGGAAGGTCAAAACAGGAAAACAAAGTTACTGGGAGAAAACGGAGAAAATCAGTAGCCCTCGGCAACTGGAGCCCTCGGCACTAAGGGGGTCCCCGGTACTCAGAGCCCTCGGCTAGTCATCTACAGCCGAGGGCACCTTTTCCGACATATTATCCGCTCCACATGCGTATGGATCACCGTACCCTGTGCAACGTCCCATCCAACAGCCGCATTAAATGCGGCCACATGCGGTTGCCAGCGCCAACCAGTTGAGGTGACCTCTCGGCCAATAGACGATTGACACGTGTCCCTGTCTGGCATTTATTACTACTATAAATAGCACCTCATTTCCCCTTTTGTAACCAAGTCACAAGAACACACAACACGCTGCATACTTCCTAATAAACTTTCTCTCTCTATACTCATTTGCTCCGACTTCTCTCTAGTTATTCTCCGTAATAACCCATCGGATAAGCTACCCCCCGGGCAGACTATCCATCATTTGGTGCTCTCGTTGAGAGGTCGAACAATCAAGTAAGAAACCCTCCCCCTCAACCAAACACAAAACACCCAGCTAAAATGGTGAGGACAACTCGTGCCAACTCCAAGAATGTAGAGGACAGGAACCTGGCCCTCGGCGAGGTCGACGTCCCTGAAGCCTCTAACAGGGCTCCCGTGGGCGGCGTCATCGCCGGGTTGGACCAGACGGCTGTCGACCTACGCCAGCAGATTCAACAAAATGCCCCCGATGCCCGCCTCGGCATCGAGGCCAAGAAAGGGGACCGGAGCGAGAATCAAATAAGCCCTCCAGTCATCACTATCGACGTACAGTCAGCGCTCTCCGCCTTCATCCAGACGCTCACCCAGAACCCGGGTGCCTTCGGCACTTTGGTTCCCCTCCAACCTCAGGTGGGGGAGAATATTATGCCTCCCCCTCATCCACGACCCCTCGGTAACCCGGTCCTCCGGATGGGGAACTCCGAGGGGGTCGTGGCCCAAGATACGGCCTCCCAGGAAGTCCAGTCCCGGGACCGCCACAACGTGAACAAGGAACAACTCCGGACCTCCACCCTCGAGAGACTCGGAGGGGCGCAAGACCGCCGAGGGGTCCAAGACCGCCTCGGGGGGAAGGCGTTCCGAAGGCCTCAGGAAAGTGGCGGGTCCGTCTCCAGGGCCAATGAAAGGCGTCCCCCTCAGGACAAAGGCAAGGCACCTCTCCATGCCGACGACGCACGCCACCAAATCAACCAGGCCCACTCGGCCCGGGTCCATTCGCAGGGGGCAGAGGCCCTCCCGAAGGACCCCCGGGACGAAATCATTGCGGCCCTCCAGCGCCGGCTTGACGAGATGGAAGCCACCAAAGCCCAAGCCACCACTTCTGCCCCTCATACAGACCTTAAGTATGAGGCGATGATGGCCAAGATGGAAGAAATGCAGAAGAAGATAGGCGAGGGCTCCGGGGAACCCACCATACAGCTCCGGACCCGGACACCATTTACCCCAAGGGTATTGGCGGCCCGGATCCTGGAAAAATACCGAGGGCAGCTGATCAAGTCCTATGACGGAAAGACTGATCCCCAAGAGCACTACAGCAGGTATCAGAACAGCATGATGATGGTGGAGGCATCGGATGAATATTTGTGCCGCTGGTTCCTCTCCACCCTAGAGGGGCCAGCTTACGAATGGTTCAATCGATTGCCCGAGGGCTGCATTGACTCATGGCAAGAACTCGCCCAGCGATTCTTGACGCAATTTGTGGGAAGGCGCCGCACAAGAAAACACTTCTCCCACTTGCTAACAGTGAGGCAGAAGAAGGAGGAGACCCTTCGGGACTTCCTGGAGCACTGGAGGACGGAGGCTGATAAAGTCGGTGGCGCTGACGACGGGACCCTCCTGGCCCTCCTACAAACAGTACTCCGCCCCGGGAACTTCTCAAGAAGCCTCATCATCGACCCCCCCCCCCCCCCCCCGCGATTACATAAGGGCCCTACAGCGGGGGGACCGGTACGCCGAAGCCGAGGAGGTGGAGAAATGCCACCACGTCCCCGATCATCAACGCCCTCGGCCAGACGACAAAGGTAACCGGGGGCCGGGGGCTCCCCACAATCATCCCAGGGATTCCGCCCCCTCCGGTGATCGCCCCCAGCATGGCCAAGCCAAGCCCGGGGGAGGCTACAAGGGGAACCCGAGGGCTTGGGCACATCCTGTCCTCCTGGAGCACCCTCGGACACCATTGACGCACCCCGTCAGCGTTATTCTTGATTTTGCTGAGGAGAGGGGCCTGGTGGAACGAGATTCACGCGCACCCCCGGAGGTATTGGCCATCAACCCGAACTACCCCTACTGTCGTTTCCACCGCCACCAGGGGCACAGACCGATGACTGCCATCAGCTGAAGACGGCCATCGAAAGATTGATACAAGCGGTCCATCTGCCCCAGTTTATTAAGGGCCCTCAGCAACAAGGCCCCCCTCATCAGGGGCCACCCCGAGGGCAAACTGCGAGAGCAAACACATGGGTCAACCCCAACACCATCCCCCTCGGCAAAAAGAGGGAGATTGGGAACTTGGAAGAAGAGGGGGAGGAATACCCCCGGTACCAAGAAAAGAAGCGCCACATCCTCATGATCACGGGGGGCAATACCGGGGGTGACTCTACAAGTCAACGAAAGAAGTGGGCTCAGTCACTTTACGTGGGGGAAGTCACTCATATGCCCCCAGTAAAGCGGCTGAGGGAGGAACCCATTGTCTTCACTAACGCTGATCCCCCCCCAGTATCCTCCCCACACAGGGATGCCCTCGTCATCCGTACAGAGATCAACGACACTATTATTCACAGAACTTACATTGACACGGGCAGCTCCGTCAATGTAATGTACCTCAGCACCTTCAGAGAGCTGCATCTGGAGAGGGGGTCCCTTCGGCCCATCAAGACCCCTCTTGCCGGCTTCACCGGCGACACCATTGATTCCGAGGGGGTCATAACCCTCCCGGTGATCTTCGGCGACGGCCTCCATAGAGCCAAGCTCGAAGTGGAGTTCGTCGTCGTCAACATCGACTGCGCCCACAACATCATCCTCGGCCGGCCTCCATGAGACACCTCTGCCTCAAGTTCCCAGCTGAGGGGGGAATCGGTTACTCAAGGGGGAACCAAAAGCTTGCCCGCGCTTGCTACCTTCAAGTTACAAAGAAGGTTAGCAAGACGGAGCTCCGCGTTGACACCATCACCGGAACTGTGGAAGCGGAAGAAAGGAGACCGAGGGCTGAACCAGCCGAGGAGGTAGAAGACTTCGCGCTCGATCCGGCCAAGCCGGAGAGAGTGGTGAAGATTGGAGCCAAGCTCCCCGAAGACCTGAAGACCGGCATCATCAGCGCCCTCCGCGCCTACTCCATTGTTTTTGCATGGGGGCCGGAGGACATGCCGGGGATCAGCCGAAGGGTCATCACCCACCGCCTCTCGGTGGACCCTTCGGCCAAACCAGTACAGCTGCGGAGGAGACCCCTCTCGGCCGAGAGGAGGGAATTTGTGAAGAAGGAGGTCACCATGCTCCTCTCTATCAAGCACATCAAGGAGGTGAAGTGCCCCTCATGGCTGGCAAACGTAGTCCTCGCACAGAAACCGCCCTCATTCCGCATGTGCGTGGACTACACGGATCTCAACAAGGCGTGTCCCATGGACCCCTTTCCTTTGCCAAATATTGATCAACTTGTGGATGAAACCGCGGGGTGAGAAATCATG